TTTAGATCGGATTTATAAGGAACAGGTGTCAGATGGACTGTTTCTCATCTACCTGATAACTGAAGACATGACGCTGTCTCTGTGCTCTCTGGTGACTGACTCCATGTTTGATTCACTCAGATTTATAAGGAACAGGTGCTGATGGTCCATGGTGTCTCTGCACTCTCTGATGACTGACGGGATACTTGTTTTAATCGCCGTGTGTTTCAGAGAGGAAACGGTTGGGGATCGGCCAGTCTCAGGAGATGAACACTCTGTTCAGGTTCTGGTCGTTTTTCCTGAGAGACAACTTCAACAGGAAGATGTACGAAGAGTTTAAACAGCGCGCGCTGGAAGACGCCAAAGAGAACTACAGGTGAGGACGACAGGATGATGATGAAATACTGAGCTCTGTCTCAGACATGTCTCTGAGCCTCAGGTGGGACATGTTTACACTGACCAGCTGAGACACGTGTTACATTGACATCAGAGGGTCAAAGGTCAGAGGTTTGTAAGAGGAGATTCATCAGTGTTCAGAGTTCTTTAAGTCTTGAGTCGATATAATCCAAATCCTGAGGTGGAGATAGGTCCCTGCTTTTATTGTGGTCATCTGTGACTGACGTGATGTCACATTCGCTTCAAGAGAAACTGAGGTGAGACAGCAGAAAATGGCGGACAGTCCGAGGAGGCGGACCTTCAGCTGCTGGGATAACTACTCAGATTCAGTCAGCTCAGCGTGGACTCCCTGCTGTATCAGATGGGTCTGTGTCCAGAGCTTCTGCCCGCTCTTTGCCTGGTGAATATCCTCCCAGCAGCAGGACGTGAAGTGGAGAGGCTGCAGGGTGGGGCTGATTCTCATCTGTGGTCTGATAAACAGAGAGGGGGCGGGGCAAAGAGGACGCCAAGCGAATCACTGTGCCACACGCGGCTCTGTAACAGAATAAGATCTGACACATTTTAAAGATCGACTCGTACAGAGACTCCGCCCACCGCCTGGAGTTTTTGATTCTAATGACCTGTGTTTGGGGCCTCCTCTGTTGGGGCGGAGCTAGAAACCCTGCAGTCTGATTGGTCAGTAGAGGATAGTCACTCTGGTTTAATGTAACCTTGGCTTCATACATCAGTAAACTAGAGCTATAAAATAACTTCATTCACTTTAAGGTGGAACGTTTACTGTCATATTACTGAGTGCACGAGCTGACCACATGTCTGTAGGTTAACATGTGTCTGTGGTCTGTCTGCAGGTTAACGTGTGTCTGTGGTCTGTCTGTAGGTTAACGTGTGTCTGTGGTCTGTCTGCAGGTTAACGTGTGTCTGTGGTCTGTCTGTAGGTTAACATGTGTCTGTGGTCTGTCTGCAGGTTAACATGTGTCTGTGGTCTGTCTGTAGGTTAAC